AATTTCTTTAGTACTAATTTGAGTTATCATCAGCTGACATGACACAAAATTGTGATCCCTAGTTTCCATAGTTGTTTAATGAGGTTGGCAGGGACTTTGGCTCCAGTAAAGTTTATTGTCATTTGGGAGATGCACCTATGTGCATGAACTTCAACAAAAACATTGCATTTTTATTTTTCCGGATGTCTTTAAGGACTGGCTTACGACTGTGTTAAAGTTTGTTGAGTTTGTCCTGATGAACCTCGGAGCCTTGGGCATTTGTTTCAAGTTGAGGTGTAAAAAACAATACAAAAAATAGCACATTAGTTAATACGCGTTATTTGAGTAATGAATATGTTGGATGGACCAGATGGTGATTAACTGGCTGCATGTCTTGATTTTCCTTCATTAATCTTGTTCTCGGGTTGATGATTTGCATACTTCTGAAGAGAAGTGATATTGAACTAAAATCTATGTGCTTTCTTGTTTGTGGATAAAACGACAAGAGTTAGTTTGATTGCTTTCTGTTGTATGCATCAAGGTCGACCTCTTCTATCTGTGAATGGAACTGATTTTAATTATCAGGCATCTAAGTTGAACCATAACAACTTCTCAATTCAAGTTCTGTGCGGTTAAGTGTTGTTAGGATCAACTGGTATTGTTTTTCGCTCACAGTGACTATGCCTTGTGCTTTTCTCCTGAAATTGTAGAAATTGAATTCTGCATATTCTACTTAATGTACTCATAATCAGCACAATTTGTGAGGTTAACTTCAGTACTAATTAACTAGTTGGCTATATTATCATTGCAATAATACGCCATCTGATAGTCTTAGTGAAATTCACACTTCAATGTATTTGTGACGGAAAATTTTATTCTTTGTATAGCTTCTAAGCCGCAGGAGGATCTAACTGAAGCAATTTGGGACAATTTCCATGGATTATGATCAAAGAAAGCTTTGGATCGAATCAAGAAGAGAGAGAAGTTTTGGACTTTTCTGTATATTAACTGCTTGAATCTACTTCTGATTTCGTTAAAATACAACTATTACATAGATTTGGTATTTATAGTCAGTTAATCAACTAACTTCTCTATCTGTACAAAAATAACAACTAAGGTCCTAACCTTTACAGAAATGTACAAATCAGCCTACCACTATACAAATCATATAAAACAGAAACTGTACACTATATGCATATTTACAGAGGAGGTTTTGGAATTTGCTCATATAGATGATTTTATTTTATTTTATTATTTTTTTTTTTTTTTGAAGATGGGCTCATATAGATGATACTTTAGTTAGCTCCTACGAGGCGATCTCACAAGCGATTTTATATACAGGATGGTACCTTCTACCTTGAAAGGATTTCCATAATTGCTGCGAAAGGGTAAAAGTAAATTTCAATGTTTCAGCAATATGCGTAACTAAAATTTCCTAGTTTTGCCAAGTTTCTATACGGTACCAGTGTTACTTTGACTTTGCCATATGTTTATAGACATTCACAAGTCACTGTTTCTACTTTTCATGGATCGATGACCCTAGAGATCAGATGAAACTTTTATTGTTTTTTTTTTTTTCCCTCCCCTTTCACCTCCCTTCCACTAGCCTTGCTGATGAATGATTATCAATTTGGTAGCACTACTTAATTACGCGTGGTCAATGAAGGGAGGAAGACAAGTTAAGACTTCCAATATTATTTTCTTAATTAGTACCGTTTTCTTCTTAATTGGAGTATGATTTGCTTAATTAATTCTAAGAATTCGGCAGCGACGTGCGCTGATGAGGCCTGCTGAATAAGAACAAGTGTCGAATTTATTATGTGCAGCAGAGGTGGAGGAATAAGATTGAAGTCTGCATCTGGGTTTGGTCGTCACTAATTTCTGCATCATTTTCTTTAATGTGCATGATGCAAGTTGATTGAAGAATAGTTTTAGCTATTTGAACTGGTCTTACATGATTCTGCTCTGATTTGGGTTATATGAAATTGCAAGTGAACCTTAAACAAACACATATTTATTGTTTCATGTCATTCTCACTTTAATTGTAAATACAGCCAATCGATTCAACTCAACTATGATCGCAAACTGCCAAAAAAAAAAAAAAATCACATATGAACAAACCATGATCACCTCCTCAACAACTTTGTTATTGCTCCAGAATATCACCAATTTGGCATATAGGAGGTATTTTAGAATGAGATGAAGGAGCGAAGACAGAATAATTTTAGCCATTGAAAAACTCTCCAAATTTGTGAGTAATTTGATATCTTACACCTAATCAATTAGCCTTTTTCATCACTCTTCTTCATCAACTGGGTTTCCTTTTGATCATCATTTTCTCCATTTCAGACAAAAATAAAATCCCTTTCATCCTCCATTAGATCTTCTTATTTTCCTTAGCCTAACTATAAACCATTCAGATTTCTCAAACCTCATCCTCCATCATTCCATTTATCCATCATTTTCTCTGTTGGTTTCTGTTCATTTCAGTCAATGATTTTGTACTTTTTTTGATTACTTTTCCATCCATTCAAGAGATATTACATAAAAAAGATACAAGCTTTGACCAATCACACCCCACCTTTCTTACAATCCAATCGAATCAAAATTATCTAAATTGAACAAACAGCTATAGGGCTTCCGACCTCATTACCAGCACCAATTCTGCGGTAGATGATATGCAGTTCCTGGTGGACCATGGAAGTGGTAACATCGAACACTTAATTTTGCTGTTATTTAGGTTAAGAAACCTTAAAATATTCCTCGTTTTAACCAAAAAGTTGGGCAGCGATCCAAGTCTGGGATCTTTCTTCCAAGTGGTTGAAGATGTTGTTTGTAAAGAAGCAGGGGTGGTTCGCACTGTACGTCTCTTTTTGACGGGTCTAGCTATGGGTGAGCAGGTTACCGCTGCTGGTGAACTAGAGAGTACCTTAAAGATCGAGGACAAAACTTGGCAGGAACCAATGGATCAGCTCTTCGTCAAAATCTTGGATACTCCAATGCAATCAAACTCTCTAACGCCAAATGAAGTTGATGATATCTTGACTTTCTTGGTACAGAATCTGGGGGTATTTCACCGCTTGGAATGGGAACTCAACGGTGGAATTATAGGAGAGCCCGTCAAAGCCTTGGAAGAACAGATCATATTCTTGAGAAATCTCTGCCTCTTCACCTTTGAGGCAGTATCTAAAGTTGATGAAGAGTTATTGGCTCATGTCGAAACTATTTCAATCACTGCTGCATATCTCCTTTTCAGGTGTGATCCCGACAAGGGCGATAAAAGTGCTTGCCGAAATTTGCTGTTCAAGATTTCATCATTGATGAAAGAAATCAAACCTATTGATCCTCAGGTCTACGAGACTTACATTAAGGTGTTGAGTGGCTCAAAGGTCAGGAGAAGGTCACTTCTCCCTGCTGATGGAGAGAAGGACAAAGAACACAATCGCGTGAAAGAATTCTTGCATTCTCTCATTTCTAATATTCGGGAGAGGCGACAACAACTTAATACTGATGATGTGGTTTCTCTGCTGGATCAACTCCGCGAGCTCTACAAAGGACTTGGATCCTTGGGAATCATTCTCACCCAGCTGCCTAACACCGTTGAGTTGAAAGCTAAAGACCACATTTTTGATGTGGTATGTGATGCTGGAGTCTTGATTTGCTCGTTGTACCAGACACATCAACAACTGGACGATGGAATTCAGCACTTGTTGAAAGCAATCAGGCATATTATATCGGATCTTGGTGAAAAAGGGGCACAAAAACCGAATTCGAACATTCCTAGCACTGCTCCATTGTCATTTGCGGATTCTTTAGTCGAAAGGCTAAAGGAGATGACAAGGTGTGAAACTGAAACAAATTCAAAGAGTCATGCCCAAAATATTGAAAAAGAGCTCGTCTATTTAAGGTCATTCTTGGGACACATTGTGGAGTTGCGTCATGAAGAGGAGGAAGTCCAAACTCTTTGGGACCATGTTTTGGAGTTAGTGTATCGGGTAGAGTGTCTCGTGGACTACATAGTGGTTGGTGATCTTTCTGATACTTTTTCAGAAGCATTTTATTCCATCATGAAGGGCATCAAGAATATCAAGCCACAAATCGAGGTGCGCCACGTAGAAATCAAAATGAAGGGAGTAACCATGGCTCATAGCTATCATGTGCCATATCAAAGAACTCCTCCATTAAATAATGAGGTTGTTGGGTTCCTTGATGAGGCAAAATCAATTAAGAATCGGCTCACGAGGGGATTGAAGCAACTACAAATTGTAGCCATTGTGGGTATGCCAGGGCAAGGTAAGACGACTTTAGTTGGAAAAGTTTACAATGACCATTATGTTTCACACCATTTTTTAGTCTCTGCACAGACTACTGTGTCACAAATAATGGACAAAAGGAGGGTTCTCTTTAACCTCTTGAGCCAAATTGATCCCAAAAAATGTTCTGAATTTACTTCTGAACGCGATTTAGTAGAGAAGGTCTGGCGCAGCTTAAAAGGGAAAAGATATCTCATCTTTTTGGATGACGTATGGGAAGCTGAGGCGTGGAATAGCTTGAAAGAAGCATTCCCTGAGGATCATATGGCAAGTAGAATTATGTTGACGAGTCTTCAGCATGATGTTGCTCCCGATGAAGAACCTCACGAAGTTAGACCACTGAATGAAGAAGAGAGCATGGACCTGTCGCAAAGGAAGTTGTTCAATGGAAGTTGCTGGCCCAGTGAATCTGCTGATTTTGGTAACCAAATTGCCAAACTCTGTAAAGGACTTCCTCTAACAATCGTGATTATAGCTGGTGTTTTAGCAACCACAAAGCCGGAGTGTTGGAAAAATATTCTGAGTGGTTTAAGATCAGGCATCGTTTCAAGCACAGAACAGTGCAGAAACTTACTGGAACTCAGCTACAGCCATTTACAGAGCATTTGAGGCCCTGCCTTCTTTATTTCGCAGCATTTCAAGAAGACGAGGAGGTTTCGGTCAGGAGATTGATTCGTTTATGGATAGCTGAAGGATTCGTTCGCAAAGTTAAGATGAAGCGTGTTGAAGATGTTGCTGAGGACTACCTGAAAGATTTAATTGGGAGAAGCTTAGTTACACTTGCAAAACAAAGATCCATAGGAGGAGTGAAAGCATGTCGCATCCATGATTTGCTCCATGAATTTTGTTTGCAAAAAGCCAAAGATGAACGGTTCTTCTCTTTCCTTGGAGTAGGTGCTGATGAAGTCTTGGCGTTTCACAAGCCACACAACCTGCGGAGATTATGCATTAACTCTGATCCGAAGCATTTCATAAGCGCAAGTGAGTATTTCCCGTATGTTCGTTCTCTGCGCTTCAACTATGACGAGGACCAAGTCCCACAAGATCTATCCTTCATATTTAACATTTGCAAACTGTTAAGAGTTTTGGATTTGGGGCAAATCAATATAGGTCGTGTGTTTCCAAGTGAAATAGGGTTGCTTGTGCAATTGGCCTTCCTGGCAATTGGAGGTTATATAAGGGATATCCCACCATCAGTTGGAAACCTTTCTAATCTGGAGACTTTGAATTTATATCAAATAACAGTAGCCAAGCCAATCTCTTTACCAGACAGTTTCTGGAATCTTCAGAAACTAAGGCATCTTTTCATGACAAGTCCTGGTGGAACATTATGTTTGGAAAGTCTTGTTGGATCATCTGATTTATGTGAGTTGGATAGAGTTTCTGGTCTAGCTATTCCTTATGGAGCTAACATAGAAGGTTTACTGAAAAAGTTTCCAAACGTCTGTAAGTTGAAATGTTTCCTTTTGGAGTTCCTTGACAAAGTAGAAAATCAGGTGAAGATTGTAGTTCCTGACTTTTTGAGCCAACTAGAATCACTTGGTATGTCATTGTTCTATAATGATGACCCACCTGAAGACATCACGATGAAGTTTGAGTTCATTCTGCCTGCAAATTTGAAGAAATTGATGTTGTCAGGGCTTTGTTTGTATAGGGAGTGCCTTTCAATTCTTTCTAGGCTGCCAAACCTTGAAGTCCTCAAACTAATAGTTGTAAGTTTCGAAGGAGACACTTGGGAACTGGAGGAAGAGGAATTCCCCAAACTTCGATTCCTGAAATTGCAATCCTGGAGTCTACTCTCGTGGAAGGCTTCAGAGAATCAGTTTGGCTGTCTTGAGAAGTTGGTATTGAGGAAGTGTGTACATTTGAGAGAGATGCCTAGTTGTCTGCAAAATATCTCTACGCTTGAAGTGATCCAGGTCAAATATTGTTCTGACACTATACTAGAGCTAGTAGGAAAGATTAAGGAAGCACAAGAAGACAACGGAAATTCAGAGCTGAAGATCATTACTTCCTTATCTGACTGATTATTCTGCTTCAGCTTTTGCGATTTGGAATAAGTGATTATGGCGATCATGGTTGTGGTTCATTACTGCTCCATCTTGCTAATCTTTGCTTCTCATTGGAGGTGTCTGTCTCTGCTGTTCCTTAAGATGTTCAGGTGAGATTCTAGTACTTGTTTTCAAATTTCTATCAATCTGGAGATTGGCTGGCATCCAATAGTTGATTCAGTGGTGTTACTTAAGCTGGCAGTTCTCTGGGTATGTTTTCGGTGAACACATTATACATCTACACTTGGGTCAAATGTGATGATTAACTCTTGTAGCTGCATTTTGCGCATGAACTTAATGCTGAAATGAAGTTGTGATTGTTTTTAAGAAAGCGTAATCTTACTACTCTACTCTGTTCTGTTTTCTCTCTGCTGCTTGCGAATCAATATGTTTGGTCAGAAAGTGAGCAGTAGAAATTAGTAGTGTTGTGGCGGAAAGGGATATAAACATAACAATTTCAGCGGAAACGATTCTCAAGAAAAATCTCCTTTCCTACTACCAATAAAATAGGACAACCAACAAAACACGCAAATAATTCAAGAACTGATAAAGTAAAGTAAACACACAAATTTACGTGGAAACCCAAATCGGGAAAAACCACGAGACTGCAACAACAGTCAAATCTCCACTATCACAATAATGGAAAACAGTCTTCACCAACTGGTGGATGCACAGGACTTCACCCAAAAAGGTGGATCACAACAATACTCTTCCACACACAACTATCACAAAATAGGATTGGAAGGATCTAACCAAAAGAGAGTTAAACCGAAAACTAAACCCTAACTTTCTTTCTTTTTCTCTTGTACAAAAACAATGCATAGCTACCCTATTTTTCTCTTCTCTCTCGGCTGAAAACCCATACAAAAGTACCAAGGACCAAGGCTTTATATAGCCCACGTCCAGCACCAATCCAAACCAAGTTTGGACTTGGTTTTCTTCTTTATTATTCGGTCAAGCAAACCAAATCCATCATGAATTTTGGCTTCCAAACATGCTGGGCCCAATTGAGGGGATCAGCCCAACAATCTCCCCCTTCACCTCAATTGAGGGGTAAAACCAAACCCAACTTCCTGTCTGCAAAACATGAGCTTCTCTCTACTCATAGTCTTCGTCAACATATCGGTACCGTTGTCATCCGTATGGATCTTCTCAAGAAACAGCGCCTTGGACTCCAACACATCCTGAATCCAATGATATCTCACATCAATATGTTTTGACCTCGAATGAAATGTGAAATTTTTCGCCAAGTGAATAGCGCTCTGGCTATCACAGTACACCACATACCTCTCTTGCTTCATGTCTAGCTCTTGTAGAAACTTCTGCAATCAAAGTGCTTCCTTACAAGATTCAGTAGCTGCAATAAACTCTGCCTCTGTAGTAGACAAAGCAACACACTTCTGCAACCAACTCTGCCATGAAACTGTTCCCCCTCCATAAGTCATCAAGTAACCAGAAGTAGACTTCCGACCATCAAGGTCACCCGCCATGTCAGCATCTGTAATCCATCTAACATGGTCTTCCCATTGCCAAAGCAAAGACTCAATCTAGAAGTACCCCTAAGATACTTGAGAATCCACTTCATAGCATTCCAATGCTCCTTACTAGGATTGGAGAGAAACCGACTAACTACATCAACTGCATGAGCTATGTCTGGCCTTGTGCAAACCATCGCATACATCAGGCTGCCAACTGCCGAAGCATAAGGAACCTTTTTCATCTCTTCCTTATCTTTGTCACTTTTAGGACACTGCGTTTTGCTTAGCTTAAAATGCCCCGCAAGTGGAGTCGAGACTTCCTTAGCACCGCTCATGTTAAACTTATCAAGAACCTTCTCGATATACTTCTCTTGAGATACCCAAAGCTTCCCATTCTGTCTATCACGAGAAATCTTCATCCCAAGAATCTGTCTAGCTGGACCCAAATCCTTCACCGCAAAGGACTTATTCAACTCCTTTTTCAACCTGGCAATCTTTGCAGTATCATGACCAACAATCAACATGTCATCGACATAAAGCAAAAGAATAATAAAATCACCATCAGAGAATTTCTTCATAAACACACACTGATCAGTTGTAGTCCTTTGGTATCCATGCCCTATCATAAAGGCATCAAACTTCTTGTACCACTGCCTCGGAGCTTGCTTCAACCCATACAAGCTTTTGTTAAGACGACATACAAGTTTCTCTTTCCCCTTCTCCTGGAACCCATCTGGTTGCTCCATGTAAATCTCTTCTTCCAAATCACCATGCATGAAGGTTGCCTTCACGTCAAGCTGTTCAATCTCAAGATTCAAGCTAGCTGCTATCCCAAGCACAACTCGGATCGAAGACATCTTTACAACAGGAGAGAAAATCTCATCAAAGTCTACGCCCTTTCTCTGATTGCATCCCTTCACAACCAATCTAGCTTTCTACCTCGGTTGTGAGCTGTTCTCACTTGTTTTCAGTCTGAACACCCATTTATTCTTGAGTGCTCTCTTGCCCTTAGGCAGCTTCACCAGGTCATACGTGTTATTCTCATGTAAGGATTTGATCTCATCTTGCATGGCTGCTAACTACTCATCTTTCTGCTCATGGCTAAGAACCTTTTCATACGATTCTGGCTCTCCCCCATCAGTAAGCAACAAATACTCATGAGCACTGTACCTGGTGGAAGGTTTCTTGTCTCTGGTGGACCTCCTAAGTTGAACAGGAGGTGATGAAACCGGTGGTGTCTCTGTCTCAAAAGTAGGATCATCATCATCACCATCTTGCTCTGTCTCATCTCCCCCTTCAGGAGAATCATCTGATTGTGGAGAAACTGGTTCTAGATCAACAGGAATCTCTGGTGAAGATTCTGGCATCTCGCCTTTTCCCATATCATCAATGGTCTGGTCTTCAAAGAAGATCACATCTCTGCTTCTGAAAACTTTCTTCTCTACAGAATCCCAAAGTCTGTACCCAAAATCATCATTGCCATACCCCAAGAATACACACTGCTTGGATTTTCCATCAAGCTTTGACCTTTCGTCTTTGAGAATATGAACAAAGGCACAACAACCAAAAACTCGCAAATGTCCAAATGAGACATCTTTCCCTGTCCAAACTCGTTGTGGTAGATCGCCATCCAACGGAACAGAGGGAGATAGGTTGATCAAATCAACTGCTGTCTGCATGGCTTCACCCAAAAAGATTTAGGCAACTTTACATTCGAGAGCATACACCTAACCTTTTCGGTAATAGTTCTGTTCATTCTTTCTGCCACGCCATTCTGTTGTGGAGTCTTTGGTACACTCTTCTGAAGTTTAATGCCATGGTCTCGGCAATACTTCTCAAACGGACCCCTGTACTCATCACCATTATCTGCTCGAACACACTTCAACTTCTTTCCAGTCTCTCTTTCAATTCTAAGGTGAAAGTCTTTGAACACATCTAATACTTGATCTTTAGATTTCAAAGAAAAACACCAAACCTTTCGAGCATAGTCATCAATGAAAGTAAGAAAGTACAATGCACCACCAAGCGATCTATCTTTCATGTAACAAAAATCTGTATGAACTAACTCTAGAGGACTGGACTTTCTAGATGGAGGAGAATTTTGAAAGGAAACCCAATGTTGTTTATCATAAATATAGTCAACACAAGGTTCTAGAGCAGTACCTTTCACCTCAGGGAGAAATTGCTTCTTACCAAGAATCTGCAGCCCCTTGACACTTATGGGTCCAAGCCTTCTATGCCAGAGATCAATGGAGGCATTGTGAGTTGCATTCACCTCTCCATTCTTCAACTTTGCATTCAACACATACAAAGAGTTCAACTTCTTTCCTCTAGCGATAACAAGATTCCCTCTAGTAATTGTCCAACGGCCACCACCTTCAGTGCTATGATAACCCTCATCGTCAAGTTTGCCAACGGAAATTAGGTTCAGACGCATATCAGGAACATGTCTGACATTTTTCAAGACAAGAGTACAACCTGTATTCGTTACCAATGATACCTCTCCCATGCCGACAACATTGCATGAGGCTTGGTTGCCCATTCTTACATGACCAAAATCTCCACGTGTGTAAGAGCTAAAGAACTGCCTGTGAGGCGTCACATGATAAGACGCACCCAAATCACCGAACCAATCACTATCGTGACTCGCAACATTAATTGTATCATCATCATAGTACACAAATACATCACTGGTAGTTACTACTGTTGTAGTGTCATCATCACTTGATTCATCCTTCTTGCCTTTACCTTTTCTCGCTGCTAGTTCTCTCTTGAGAACCCTGCACTCCCTCTTAAAGTGCCCATTCCTTTGACAATGGTAGCACACGACATCTTTCTTGGATTTAGACCGTCCCCTGGACTTGTCATTCCGATCAAGTGGCCCTCTGCTTTTACTTCTCCCTCTACTGTCTGATTTTTCTGTCACCAGAGCCTGTGACTCAGACTCAATACTCTGCTATTTTCTTCTAACTTCTTGATTCATTAAAGCCTCTTTGACCTGATCTACGGTCAAGACACCACCTTGGGTTGAATTACTGATTGACACTACCAAAGTGTCCCAACTGTCTGGAAGAGAACTAAACAATAACAACGCATGCACCTCATCATCCAAATTTAAACCTACATTCACTGCCGGGTTTAACAAACCCTGAAACGAACTCAAGTGCTCATTCATGCTAGCACTATCTTTGTACCTCAACCTGGTAATCTGTTTCAGCGCAGATGACTTATTGATGTCGGACTTCTTCCAGTACATATTCTGGATTTTCTCGCAAAGTTCATCAGCTTTTGTTTCTCCCGAAAAGTGATGAAACACACTTTGATCAATCCATTGTCAAATATTACCGACAGTCTTCCTGTGCATATCAGCCCACTTTTTATCAGTCATATCACTTGGCCTACCTTCATCCCCTAGAACAAGATCAAACAAATCTTTGCAATACAACAAGTCTTCCATTCTAGGCTTCCCTATATGATAATTGGATGTAGTCAATTTAATCATTGTACCAGCACCCGATGACTCTTCCATTT